GGGAGTTTCTGTTCTCTGGTAAATCGTTGGCGTGCTCTGGCCCGGGCGGGCTAATGGCGCGTCCTCGCTCCCTAGACCGGCCTCGGCCCCGCTCTCCGCCGGGTGCTCTGCCTGCCAGCGCGTCCTGGGGGGGCAGAACGCCAGCTGACCGTCGCAGCGGCTGGAGACCGGCGATAATCCGGTGGCTAAACTTTTGTTTCACTTTTAGAAAATTTTCAGCTTTTAACGTAAGCTATTTAGGAGGAGAAGTGCCCGAAACACAATGGCTGTGGCCTGTTCTAGTTAAGGCTTTTAGAAAGAATAACTGGCTGGGTTATCTTGTGATGGCACTATTATGGCATCTCTGTAACTAGTAATTTTATAGTTTCCTAAGTGGGATTTGGCTGCATAGGTGACTGCATGCTGTTAGCAGTTGCCCTGCGTTGGCTGTGACTTTAAGAAGCCGTTTGTTTTTTAGTCTTGTCATTGCCGTGTGGGCTCCATTGCCATCCCCACAGCTATTTCTGATAGGGAGCAGTTATGAAACACAAGGACGCTCAAAGAAAAAGCTTAATCTACCTCAGCTGTCAAGTTTTTGTTTAATAATTTACAATTTGTAATGTGAGTTAGTCATACAAGTAGAGCTTTGGGGGTTAATATGGAATGATACCTTCTCAATAGGTGCAGTAATCAGAACCAGCTTCTATGGCAGGTCTGTAATCTACCCCTAAATGCCTGTGCTCTGCAGCTCGACTTTACATTCGTGTTAGGTAGACTACCGAAGGGATACTGTTCCTGTTCAAAGCCTATAAAAATAAATCCCTGGCCTATGCAGCACTCCTAGAATAGCTCTGTAATAAGACCGTAGTAAAACACGTGGTAGCAAGTTTATTGTGATGCCTTCTGGTGTATTCTGATGAAGTCAGGTGACTGGGGCTGATTTTGCTAACCGAGTTTCAGACTGAAGTCTTGAAATGCAGTGCTTATGCACCGTTTTGAAAAATTACCCTTTGAGAGACAGGAATCCCTTAGTGATCTGCTAATTTAGTTTTAATCTGGTGAGGGGTTCAGGACAAATTAATATCGTCAATAAAATAAAACTTTGTTTTCTGTGAGTTTATATCCTGTTAGGATACTGTGATATCAGCGCTATTATGGCATTGCAATATTAACCTTCACTAAAACTGTCTGGGTACGCGAAATTGAACATTGACTCAGTTAATGCTTAGCTCTGAAATACTTATATAAACAACCCATTTTGCAGTACATGTTTATGTGCATGCTTAAAAAAGATGAAGCCCCTAAATGAAGTTTGAGGCAGCGTCTTCATGATCAGACCTCTCTTCTAAACTTTTCTCACATGCTGTAAGAAGCTTGTGCATGTGTTAGGCGAGAAAGGTGTTAAACAAGAGAGTGATATAAATTGAAAACTTGCCAAAGACCAGTGTTTCCTGTTCTCGTGTGAAAACCCAGGCTAGTGGCAGGGGGAAGTTCAGCAACAAAGAAACTTCGGACGTTGGAGAACGTATGCTTGGTTGACTGACTCTTTTTTGGACTTAAAAGCCTATATTTTTCAGGAAGCTGTTAGAGGTGGTGCATTTTGTTTCTGGACTGACTTTTGCCACATCAGTTCTCTGTAGAGTTGTGCTGTTGTCATGTTTTTCCCGTTTTCTGCTTTACGTTTTGTCCCATGTATTTTGCTAAGGAGGATGTGCTCTTCATACCAGAGTTTGAAAAGGCTGATGGCTCTTTTTTTAGCCATGCAGTTCAGCTGTCCAACAGATATGGAATTTTACGCTGCTGGTACCTCTGTAAAGATTAAGGGCAAAAGCCGTTTAAATGAGTTAGGTAACTACTGCCTTCCTGGTAGATCCTTTTAATGAAGTAAGCAGGCTTCATTAGCTGTGTCAAATTCCTGTAGAGAACTAAAATTATAACTTTTGTGTGGATGTCACTAGGAAGAAGAGCGTGGTATATCTTGAATTCCGCCCCCCTCCCCCCCCCCTCCCCCCCCGCACTTCCCCAGTCAGTTGTTAGTCACTTGGTTGTTGCTTCTGTAACTCAAGGGAGAATGTTGTAAATGTACGAATGGCCTTGCTGGCTTGGGTTAAAGCCTTTGTGGCTCAACAACACATCTCTAAGGGTGCTCAATACCACCTAGTCCGCAGAAGAATATAAGGTCAGGACGTGCATGCAGTGAGCTTCCCCGGAAAACTATCCCAGGTCTCAGCAATCTGTGGTTTAAAAGCCTTCTGAGCTGCGAATGAACACATCGAGTTGCTTTCTGAATCCATCTAAATTCTTGGCACCCCTGTATCCTCTGGCAAGGAGTTCTGCAGCTTAACTATATTTTATATGAAGAACTGTTGTTCTTCCAGCTATCAGCTGGTTTTGTTTGACACCCCAAGTCTTTGTATTGAAATTCTTTAAGTCGTCTTACGTAGTTTTTTGAGTCTTAGCTCTTGGTCATCGAGAGTGAGTGACCATAGTCTGTATCCTTTTCATCTGCATTGGTGCATAACACAGTATTTTGTGTTTTGACTGCCTGCTGTGTGATGATTTGTCAGCCCTGTGAGTTTGCATAAATGTCTCCTTTGATGCACCATGAATACATGTTTATGTAAGCTATTTATTGTTGGCCCTCTGTTCTTAAAAACTGCCTCCTTTTGGTTAGTATTGGCAAAACATGCCCCCTCAAATGCTTTGTCTGTTGGCTTAACAGTGAGTACCCAGTGATTCAGCATTAGATGTTGAAAGTGTTTAGCTGAAAGGATTGCTTTTGAGAAAATCCAGTCGGTGTTGGCATGATAATAAAGCACGACAGGAAGAACAGCAGCCGAAGAATGATCTTTGTAACACATGAAAACTGTGGTCTTGGCTAGTATGATATTATATAGTGAGAAATAGTGTAGTTCTGTGTTCAGTCGTGTCAGGGAAACGTTGCCCTTCGTATTTATGTCTTTTGCATTGTATTGCCTAGCTGTGTTTTCATCTAATAAAAAGCATTGGTTCCTGTCCTCACAGAAGTTTCTTTTAAACTGCTACGAGAATTTCTATCTTTCCTTGGTAGAACTGTTAATTCAGATTCCCACTGTATTGTGCAAAGCTGTCTTTGAGATGTCTTGGCCTAGTGGAGCAACTAGACAATGTTATATTCTAAATCTGTTGTTATAACCTTTGCTTCTGAGGATTCTTACCAGAAAGATGTTGAATATTACAGAATTTTGAGCTTTTATAAGAGATATAGGAAAGCACTGGGGTAGGCTAGTGTGGTGGCTCTAGTTCTTTGGCAGTTCTGGCTTAAGTAGCTCCCAGCTGCTTGTGTTCTCTGTCCTCCCTGCTGCTGTGCTAACATACCTGTTTGTGCAGCTGCTTGGTGATCCAGACTGTGGAAACTGATCCAAATGAAACACAGCCCAAGGGGGGGGGGGGGGAGATGGATGGTTATTTTTCTGTTGAATTAATTTCTGTAACCCATTCATGTGGAGTACATGCAGGCATGCTGACTGATGCAATGCAAAGGATGATGACACGGATGGAAGAGTGTGAAGGGGCTGCCTAAGCAGCTCTAAGTGGATATGAAACCTTAGTCACAGATGAATGTGAGGCCCTCCTGATTTCAATGGCAATTCTTCTTTCCTGCCTAAAAGTCTTTCTGTGACTTCAGATCATAACAACGATTAAAGAACTACAGCAGTCAGTGCAAATCAATATATATTTTCCCTGAACTACCGGTGGTTTGCATGCATGCAAAAAAAAAAAGGCCTTGGCCAAATACTGGAAAGTAGCAAAACAAGAATTTTGAATGGAAGATATTTTGGAAATGATCTAATAGAAGAAATTGTACTTCATACATCAAATTGCTTCATGGACCAGAACAGATGAGTGTAAAGTAGAAGTCATGGTTGAAAGACTGGATGTACAAATGGCAATTTTTGCCAAATGAGTATCTCCAAATGATTACTTTGAGCATCCATGTTTTACAGTATACTCATAAAATAGGCATTTTATTTTACAGAAATGCACTATCCAACTGTCTTCATCCTCATAATTTTAGGATAATTGTAGACATGTATAGAGAAATACAGTATTGTTGCTATTAATATGATGGCAGGCATGTTTTTGAGACTGAGCTGCTGTAACACTGGTTCACAGTGAATATCAACACATTACGGTTGGAGCTGTCATACAAACTAATTGTGGCAATGCAAGTGCTAGTCTGTCTGTGCAACTTCATGATCAAATAGGGGCAGTTGAAAAAAAAGCCCTGTGGCTCTTGCCCAGCTTTCAACACTTGTTTGTTCTTAGTGGAACCCTTGTTTTGACAAAAAAATGTTTTTTGTTTGGGGGATTTTTTTTTTCAAATTGAATAATTTAATTTTAGTATAGACTTCTTTTATGTGAAAGAGAAATGCATTGATTAGATTCAAACACGTCTCCAGGAAAGGGATCCAAGATGGGAGGCTGAACTCCTACAGTTGCTGTCAGTATTTGAGAGAGAATGTAGGAAAATGTCTATTCAAATAATTCATATGTTCACTTGGTAGCAGCAATCAGCATGTTGGTGAACTACCTGCAAAGGTCTTCTGCGTATATAGTTCATTATTATATATTTCATTTACAATATTGCTAATTGTCTTTCAGGAAATGGAGGATAAGGTGATCAGCCCAGAAAAAGTTGAAGAAGCAAAATTGAAAGCAAGATATCCTCATCTGGGCCAGAAGCCAGGAGGCTCGGACTTCTTGAGGAAGAGGCTTCAAAAAGGAGTGAGTTCTTTATTGTCCGCAGGGTATGGACAAGAAATTCCAAAATTCCTGTATCTGTGATTTTTTTTTTCCACTCCACAGGCCTTTGCGTGAGTAGGAGTGCTAAGAAATTTAAACTTTGTCTGTGAAAGCACAAGGAGGAGAAATTTGTTTCCACAAAACAGATGCCAAATTGGCAGGATAGCTGTTTACAGCATCAATGGCTCAACTGCACTTCTTAGAGAGAATTAAACTTAGAAGCTGGCTCAGTGCTGCTGTGATAGTCTTCATAAAAAACATTATAGTAAACACTAAGGGTCAGAACCCCATCCCTGTTTTGTACTGATCTTATCTTGCCCATTCTTATGTCTGCAAAACATATGTCTGCTCTTATTTTCCATGTTTTTAGCACATGAAAGCTTAGTGTCTGCTCTGTTACACCAGGCACCGTCTGACATCAGTGGCTTGAGAGCGGTGGTGTAATTCTGAATGTACCCCCTAACCAAAAAATAATTAGAGAAGAATGAAGAGTGAGTTAGTATTTCAATATTGTTCCACATTTAACCAGTGTCTCTTATTTTCTTAGTTATTCAACTGTTTATTTTTTTAGTTTAATTATTCATAAAGTGATTATGTAATGCCTTTCAGGCATGCTAGAACTCTGTTCTTGGAATAAGCCTAGCATATCACTACTTCTGATGGTGCTTTCATTGCTGTCACGCTGCTTTTGTTTTTTTTACTATTGTCTAGGCCCTTTGAGTGCATGCAGTGATTCCAAGTATAAATCCTGCGCAAACCAGCTGTTGGAGTTCAGTGCTGATCTAATTCTGTGCTATCGGGTAACATCTCCTGGGAATTGTTACTGTTGGCAGGTTTTTTGGATGAGCTTTCTCTCATAAGTTGGAGCATATGCAGCATAGTTAATGGTTGCTGGGCATGGACAGGTGGTAGATGAGGTGGCTCCTTTTGTGAGTTATGCTGTTATGTGGTCAAAGGCAGCCTAAATGAGACTTCAGTGGGTTCAGTGTATGCGTAGACACAGAAGGGAGAAGGTGAGTATGTATTGTGATGACAATTCAGGAAAACAGACCAGCATCTGCTCCCTAAGGATTGATGGCCACAAAGGAATGACGACTGCTCAGTGCAAACGTGAGGAAAACTCACCACCAACAATAACAATCTGTACAATGTCTTCATCTTGATTATAGCACTATTTAATGCAAAGGTTGTTGCAGCCTACGTTTTCAGATTTGAGCAGAGGTAGACCAGTGGGCATCTTGATTAAGTGTTTGGGATTTTGCTACTTTGATGAAAGCTGGCATAAAGTTGTGGATTCCAATTCGTAATCTGCCTTCTTCAGATCTCTACTCCTGATGTGGTGGTAATAACTTTCTTCCTTTTTTTTTTTTAATTTTTGTTTAGTGTGCACAGTGTCTTAAATGAGAAAGCATCTTTACTTGATATAGATGCCTGGTGTACTTTGGGCTGCCTGGATTGCTGAAGTTTAAAATAGAGTGAGGATAGTGAGTGTGCTTTCACATAGTGTTTCTGACACGAAGACACCTGGACAGATATAGTCAGTTTGAAAGGGATGATCAAATACAGGCCATCTATGAGAAGCTAGAGTAAATCAGAGAAAAACACAGGAATAAGTTAAAGGAAGAAATGGACGATATTCTAATGCATGAAAAATGGTAGGTTTTCTCAGATATTCTTCTAAATGTATGTAGTCAACTGTAGCCCAGATTTTTCTTCGATTTGGCAACTACGACATGCTCTGCCCATTGATACATGCTCTCCAGAAACGTTCTGCATTGGGTGCACACAGTTATTAACACACTTTCTCCAGAATAATAGTAGATGAGAACCATGCTACACCATGCTCCTGTAGAGGGTTCCTGTTTGGAGCTCTTACATGGACAGAAATAGATACCTGTTAACAGCAGTAACGCATCTAAAGATTGAGCAATTCTGTTATTACCTAGTTGCTGTTTAAAAGTTTCTTTTGGTTTCTTCAGTCTTGAAGGGCAAAATATGAAAGCCTTTTTCCAAATCAGATTGTTACAACCCGAGGTCTAGTCTGCAGGTGCAGTGCTAGAACACTGTGGTGTAAATAGGGATTACACCATCAAAAGGATTGAATTGGAAAGGTTAACGAAGAGAAGTGTGTGGTTCAGATGTATTACTGACTGCATGGGAAGAACAGATTTGGTAACTTTAAGGCTCTGGCAGGGAACATTTAAAGCCTTCTTCAGGAGCCCTTGCATAAACAACCTCCCCCCCTCGTTAGGTAAAGGCCTGTTAAGTTAGGTGTTCAAATTACTTCTCTCTAACAACTTCTGCTACTGAACATTTTGCAGCTGGTTAGTACTAATGCAAAATAAAGAGTAGGGTAGTAATATGCTGCCTGGAAGCACTTAAACATAGCAGGTAGTGATGGCTGTTGTTCGACTGACTGAGGAATAAGCATATATAAAGCTAACTAGGGAGTGTTCTCTTCAGAGATGACTGTGATTGTGAGCAGCAGTTGCTAGTGTAAATCTTTGTCCTGAATCTGATTTTTTTTTTTGGCCTTATATGACAATCTGTTCAAAATCATGGGTTACAAGTACTTTAAAGGCAGACCTCATAGTAAGATGTAAATAAAATACAACTTTTCCTGCAAAATGTGTCAATGAGCAGTTGAAGGCTTGACTCAGACCTTGGATGAAATTCCATGCCTCATGTTACTTATCATGATGCAGATAAATCGTTAACAGGCATTGGGCTTTAACATCTGTAGATAACTTAATATCTGACAACAGAGACTGTTAAGGGTAATGCTAGTAAAAATTCTCTGAAATATTAAGGAACACTGTTCAAGAAATTCAAACTTAATGCACTCACTTTTGTACTCAGGAGAAACCTGGAGCGTGGGATAAGAACTTCCTTCACACAGTGCTTTTCAGAAGGACTACACAGTAGATGTGACTTCACTAAATAATTGGTTTGGGAACTTTAGGGATTATAGTTTCACTGTTTTAATGTATGCAGATAAGGGGTTTTCTTGTTAGCATGCAGTTTCATGCTGCTTTGATCTTCTGGTATGATAGAGCAGGCTCTGTTCTCCAGCTTTAGTTCGTGCATTGTTTGGTTATTCTGTGTAGCAGAACTTGTTCCCTGCAACAAAATTTACAAATCCCAAGGTTTCACTTGTGGGAGACCAGAGCTCTTGGGAAAAACAGGGCAAAAATAGTGTTCACGAATGGTGTGAGTTTAATGGTATGTGTAGAACCTCAACTGTGTACTTACCTAATGTTAAGAGTTTAGCAATGTGTGCTTAATAGTCTTGATAAGATTTTTTTTTTTAATCGACATAGAGCTACCTTGCCAAATGGGGAAGATTTTATAACCGTTTTTAAAATTTAAGGAGTCTATTTAACCATGTAATTCAGTGTATGCATCTGATAAGATTTCAGGCTTTTAAATATGTGTGTTTTGTCTTCTAGCAAAAATACTTTGATTCTGGCGATTACAACATGGCTAAAGCAAAGATGAAGAATAAGCAACTGCCTACTGCAGCTCCTGACAAGACAGAAGTCACTGGTGACCATATTCCTACTCCACAGGATCTTCCACAGCGGAAACCATCTCTTGTTGCTAGCAAGCTGGCTGGCTGACGAGAACAGCTGAACTGCATGATTATTCTCATTCCTGTTATTTCTCCTTAATAGTTATTTCTCACCCTCACATCCCCCTTTTTCTTTCTTACACTAAGTCATGAGACTGACAGCTTTGCAGGTAGCGATAGCATGTGCTGCTATTGTAAGGGAATACTGTTAAGAGTAAAACGTGTAGTATTTGGACTAGTTGAGAAAAATGCACTGATTAAAAAGGACAAGTTTGGTTAGAGCAATGTAATCTACTTGAAAATGTACATATTGCCCATTTCCTAGTGTAGGACTGGTTCCAGCAAGTGACATCGCAAGTTTTACAACTTCTAATGTTTCTGCTTTTGTTATTTCATCTTAATTACAGCATATTTGTATTTAATATAACCTCCAGTTGTGTTGGGTTTTTCTTCTGTGTTTGGGTTTGTTGTCTAAAATAGAGGTTTAGACCACAAGTTGCTAGATGGTAAAGCATGTATAAAAACAAAGACAGGGCTCTGATTGAATTTTGTTTCTGCTTTTGAACTTGAACGGCCTTAAACCTGTTTCAGCTTTAACAATAGAGTTTTTACTTGGGCAATATTTGCCCATTCTGGTGTAACTCTTGTGAATCTAGTGCTTATTGACAACTGCCTGTTGAAGCTGGTATTCTTTTCAGTTCCGTAGCTTAGGACACACTTTTGTTGAAGATGTGAATGAAGTGTGCATGTGCATAGACTGTTGAATTCACTCTTGTGCCATTTTTGTAAATACAATAGTTTTGCACAACCTTTTGCAAATGTCTATTAGTTTTACATTTTAAAAAGCAGATAATGTGCCAATCAAAGCACAAGTGATTCTGTATCTTTCAAAGTCTTGTCCTGAAACTGAGAGCCCAAAATCTTGCTACTGAAAGTAAAAATTGAATACCTGAAATTTGTGAAACACTTATATTTACACTTGACTCAGCTTTATGCTTTTGTGGTTGTATATTTTGTTTCGCAACAATGTCCAGCATTCAAATATAAATCTGGAATTTGTACTTACATTTGGAGGCAAGTGCCCTTTCTGTTCAGCAGCTCTTTAAGCTTTTAAAGCTGAAATGCTCTGATGACATGGGAGATGGCTAAATGTACTGTTCTAGAGTTTCCTGTGTGGCAAACTCCAAATCTAGGCTTGCTAAGGTTTGATATGCAATTGTCTGTGGGCTATTTTAGACTTCTGGAAGCGGAAGGGTATATTTTTTTTTTCTTGGAGTCCTGAAGTGGTAGTACACTAACTCCTTTTCTCTTTGTTATACAGCAGCCCCTCATTGGCTTTGGGGAGACAAAACTGGAAGTGATATTTATATAAAGACCTATTGAGAAATAGGTAACTTCATGTCAGAAAATAGGAAGGAACTTCAGTTCATCTTTGTGATGCAGGTTGTAAGTACTAGATTGCCAAAATACATAGTTGATATTAGACAGATAACTTGATGCATTTAAAAGCATGTTTGTTCAATGAAATCAGAATATTAAAAGTGCAGTATGATCCATAGTGTATTTGATTTTAATATAGGTAGTCACAGCCTTGATGTTCTTTGGGAGTATAAGAAACTCTTTAAAAAGATCAGTTTACTGAGTACTTTTTTTCTTTAAAGAAACAGTTCTGAAACGGCTTACTAAAAACAAAGCACCAATGTGGGTATTGTAAGAGAAAACACTCTTAAAGATGCATGTTTTTAGAAGGATGTGCTTTGTGTTGACGTATTCAGAAAGGTCTTACAAGATAAAGGACTGCTAGTCAAAAAGAACACTGAAGTCTGTATAGCCCTTCTCTAGTAATTAAATGGGCTCTGTCAAGCCTGTCCTTATCCCTTATCCTCCACTAGTATTATAAAGAATTTGTGATTTTTGCAGAACAGGTTGAAGAAATGGACTTACTTGACTTCTTTAGGCAAGAAATTAGGCTGGGAGAATAGCAAGGAGACTAGATATATTAAAGCAAACTGCTTTTTATAGATGTTTGTTGAAAATCCCTCTTTATTTTTGTATGTATAAATGAAATGGAAACTTAATGATAGGACTGGGCCTGAAACAAATTTTGAACAATTTAAGGTGACTTGCTGTGTATTGTCTGGTGCCACTATTCTGTAGCTCACATAAGGTGAGCTTTCTTGATGTTTGGGAAGGTTTAAAAAAATAGCCATTTAAATTTAAACATTCCACTCGCTTAGCTACAACTCAGCTTGTCCTGCTGGTTGGACAACACAAGCTCCTCTGACGTTCACTCGGTGACTTGCAGTTCTTAAGATTACTACAAATTCAGCTATGAATATATTATCCATGTGTATATTTGAAGTACTGTAATACCAACTAGGTCAATGACTGATTATGAGCCTTCACATCTGACAGACCTCAGCAGCAGGCACAGCTATTTTGGTTCTATACACTGTATAAAACTTAAGTCCAATAATGACTTGACGGTAAATCAAACATGACTGCAAATCGATGCTTACTTTCAGCTTACTCCAGCAAGATAACTCAGCTATCCAAACTTATGTACATAATGTATTATATGAGTTTTACCATTTGATAATTACCTTTTTCAAAGAAAACCTGTCCACACTGTAGACTGGCAGTCCCTTTCATATCTTGCCTTTAAAGATAGACAGTGTTTAGTTATTAGAGTAGTACTCATGTAGGCTTATAATAGCAGATAGCACCAACATTTTATTCAAGGTAGTTAAGTGGATTAATTACAACTTCACAGATATGTCCCCAAATCTGTAGCACCAAAGGCTTCCCTCTCATTGTTCTTGATGTAGTAGGACAGTGTTTGTGTAAAGGCCACAGGAGTACATTTTGTTGGACATATTTACACCCAGTCAATATGTTAAGGTGATAAAAATGTCAATTGTTCTTTACAAACTTACACATTGTATAGTATACAGAATAAATTGATCTACTTAGTTTTTATTGCAACGTGGAGATCTGTCTCGTCTTTACTGTGGTTTCCTAAAAGATACTGCATACTTCGGTATTCTCTATGGAAAATTTCTAAAACCGAAATCTTGCTACTCTGTATCATTAAAAATATGACTGGGCTTTGGTTTCTAGTATGTTAGACTACAGAATTACTTTAATGTAATCACATTTATATATATTTCAGTGCTTATTTTTCTAATAAGGCAATTAAAGCTTATTGTTTGAAAACTCCGTAACAGATGATTGTTTTGGTCCCTTGCACTGAGTGAAGGGGATTTCTGGGAATTAGCTTGGCATATAGAAGTTTGCATTGCTATATGCCTGAATATGGCAACATTACCAGGAAATCAAGATGCTGGAAGAAGTCTAACTAATTTCATATTCAGGCTGTGACTTAAGTGCTGATCTTTGCGCAACTTCGAGATCCACGTGGTACATTTACACAATTGGCTCAGTCACCGAGGTCATAGTAACACCCTCTATACTCTGCCTCTCTAACAAACTGAGGAGAAAAATATCCAATTTAAGTAGTGTCATTCAAATACCATGCTGAGGCACTGCAAAGGCTGCATGAACACTGGCATTAGTAACCTAAAGTCACTTACCTGAATCTCTGTATGGGGAGCGGCATCAGTCTCCAGGCAAAGACAAGCCATTTAAATACAAGCTTATTGCCCAAATCTGTTTCTAATTAGAGCTGTGGCAGGTACGGTTGCACAGACCTGCACTCGGAGAAGCTTTGCATTTAGTGGGTGTGCTTGCAGAACGTGACCACGTTATTCAGGAGGGAGGCAAGATTGCAGTAACTTGTTGATTTGATGGCTGGGGGGCTTTCTGCGAGGTTGGGAAGAACAGACTGGGGGAGCACGCAAGCAAGATGAATGTGGGTTTTGTCTGGTTTTTTAACTTAATGTGGAGTTGGGCTGAATGTGTGGTTTGATTATTTATTCCTGCTTTAGTACAAGCGAGCCACCCTCTTTCAGATTCACGTCTTTGGCTTTTTCATCCCAATTTCTGGCATCTGTAGATCCAGAGTAACTTGAAATCTGCAAAGTCCTATGCATATTCAAAGCTTTTATTCCCATTAAATATTGATCTTGGAAATGTTTATGGAGTACTAGCACAGAGGCAAACAGCCTTGAGCTCAACTGATGTGCCTGAAAAAGCTTTAGTTTAGGGCCAGATGACTGAATTATCCCTGTCTTTCTCAGGCAGTACATCTTTGTTACAACGAGGATGCTGCTTGATATATGTTCATGATAAATATTCTTGCATATTTATAGCAGGCACAGAAGTCCGTTTACTTACTGCTTTGGAAAATATTGACAAAGCCTCCACCGATTTTAGATGGATGTTTATTTGACTTCGGTTTAAAATGGGAAGATGAAGTACTTCTTGTTTCTGACTTTGTCTAAATTTAATAACAGATTTCAGTTGGGTTTAGTTTTGCAGAACAGTGTTGTAGCTCTTATTAAAAGAGGAATAAGGTTGGAAAATCTGTCAGCTTCCCTTGACAATGTTACAGTAACTGGATAACTGTCATTGACATTCCTGGTACAAGGAGTCTCCACAGAGGCTGGATTCAACCTCTGCTGGTACTTCTGTCTGTGTTAGTATGGTAGGGTTGTTTCTTTACGGGGTGTGAGGGGAAAAAAAAAAACAACCTCTAAGAGTCTTCCTTGAAAAATGGGATTTGGATTTTTAAATGTGCAGTGTTTTCTAGGAATTGAATTACATGGCTGAAATTACAAAGATGCTTAAACGCAAGAATGGGAGCTATGGATTCTTCTGAACTTCAGGTCTGTTCTCAGGTGATGGTTTTTATACTGCTGAAGAAAAATCTGCTAATACATTGAAAAGAAAATACGTATGTGATGTTCTAGATACAAGAGAAATCTTCTTAGTATAGGCATAGATACAGGCAAGCTTTCTGCATGGGAATTTCATCACGAAGGTTAAGAATTCATTGTGTCTTGTCTTTTCTGTAAGCCCAAAAAGCCTGGAAGTAAATCCCAAGTGTTATCGGGAGAATGTGTGCGTGGTACATGATTTTGTCTCTTCCTGTGTATCTCTTACATTACATTTTGGAGTTCTTAACTGGTAACTGTTCAGTCAGTACTGGCTGAAACCAGCCCTGTTTGTTTTCCACAGCTAAAAGTTAAAGGCCTAATCCTTGTAGTGTGAGAATATAGGAAAGGGTGGGAGGAGGATTTTTGCCTATGGATTCCTCAGGTAGCAAAAGCCACTTGGAGTTAAACTGATGGTCAATGTTGAATATACAAATGCTTTTCTGAAGAAGTGGATAGGCCCATCCACTGTGCCACATAAACCATCTCGTGTTCCTTATGTTGCCAATATGTATTATTTCTGTGCTTCTAATGATATCCCTTTTTTGTTTGGCCAACGGAGAATCCACTGCTCACTTGTGGTACAGCGTGACAGCAATAGGATGGGAAGTCCTAATTGAGGAGGGAATTTTTCTGCCACAGTTGAACAGATCATGGATGTAAACAGAACGTAGATGGAAGAAAAGGATAGGACAGATGCTTTGTAGTCACTTGTGAAAAAAAACTACATAAACTAATCTCAATTCACAGAAGGATTATTTTCTATCTTTTTTTCATGGGGTTCAAATTCAGAAAGTTCAAATTCTGCATGTGGACTGTGTCAGCTACATCAGCCATACGTTGTCAGCTGGAATACACTGGGATATATGCTCTGAAATCAAATGCCATAAATGATCTTTTCGAAAAGATGCTGTGCAAGATATGGGATGAGGGCATTTAAAATCTTGCCAGCAAATGTTTGATGCAGGAGATGCATGTTGAAGGGATAATCAAGTAGCCAGTCTAGATACATTACAAACAGGTTGGTTCTTGGCAACTTTCAGTGCCCCCAATTCCTGTCCTTAATGACAGATTTGAAATCCTGGTTTATGCAAATTGTGTCAAATCATAGCGTATTTTGGACTCGGATATCTATTTTTTGCTGGGGCTTATAATTACATTTGGCTCCTGAGCTCCAGCTGTGAATGGCTGGTACAGTAATCCACAGTCCAAGCGAACTCCTGAAATGAATGTCTTTGTGTTTAGAATAGATATCACTCTGAAGAAAGGGTATTAAATATCAGATATGAAGCAGCACACAGTCAGAGGGGAGGTTCGGGTCTCTTCTGAAAACAAAGTTAGGAGACTTCTGTGGTTCGTACATCCAGATTCTTAGATTAAGCCTGTTAAAGGGGGATGATCGCACTCTTAAATGAGCCCCAAATCACATTTCTTGTGTTACACGTGAAATATGACTGGTAGCTTTGTAGTAGAGATCTCTCTGTTATGTACACGTGAAGAACAGCTGTGCACATTTCTTAGCCAAAAACCTCACCCCTGACCTGGACACCAGTTCGCAGGAACCGATTCTTGGCTTCTCGTAGGAGTGAGAGCAAGTGTCCAGCTCCGCTGATGGGAGTGAGCCTGCTGGGCGTGGGGCAGGGATCGTGCCTGATAATCCTGCACATACGGGCACAACATGGGAAGGAAGATATTTTCTTAGTTCCGTTCTCATTAGAGTTTCAACTCTGAACTCTCCCAGCAAAAATCAAGATGTTTTTTTTTTTACCTCCTTTCTGAATTTACTAATCTTAGTTTACTAGCTGTGAAGACCGTGTATCTGTGCCTAATAGAAACAACTCCAGGAAAGGCTCCATATTTTCATCTTAACTATTTTTCTTTTTCATTTGTGCTTGCTACTTTTTACATCTCCTTTCTCTTAGATAGCAGCAGTAAAGTACAGCTAGATTATGGCATTTATTTGGAGTGTTTATTTTGGGAGTCACGATAGCTTGATTTTTATTTCTGGCTGTTACTCAGTTGATGAGTGATTCTGAGCAGGTCACCCATCTCTTTCACGGCCCGTTTTCTCTGTAGAACGGGTTTGTCTGTTTCTTTGATAGTCACAACAAGTTTCAGGGGGAGTGCAGACACTACCCACTGAACGCAGAGCTGTTGCCTAGACAGTTGAATTTTGCAGAGATGATGCCACTTAAAAAGTCAAAGCACTTTGGTGGAGAGAGTGGCAAAGGTAACCGTTTCAAACTTGTTTTGTATTTTGGGCCACTTGGACTGGTAGGATGCATTCCCAAGGTGAAAAAGGAAAATACAGAAAGAGTGATAACTTCAGTTCTGCTGTCAAAAGAACTCTTGCCATAACGTGAGCTGTAGAGGAAAAAAAAACAAACCCACCCGTTAATGATTCATAAAGCAATGAGCTGCCACCTCAAGACCTAGCCAGAACACGGATTATGCTTTTCAGTCCCTTTTGACGTGGAAGTTAAACTTTTCAAAGATGCGAACCTTCATTTCTTGGTGAGAACTGGACTGACTTGTCGAAGGAGCTGTTTTGGGCCCAGTTCTCGTAAGTGTTTTCAGTAGCAGTTTGAATGATCGAGATGCGATCAAGCTGGAAGAGGTCGTAAACAATGCGAAGGATCGGATCAGAATCGGAGAGCGAAAACAGAAAATGGAAAGCTTGGCACCCGAGAAATACATGCAGAAACGGGCAATGGGAATAACTGGGTAGGTGGCAGGACGGCAGCCAGGCACGTCGAGGCGGTGGTAGGCTGTAACCCAGATGTGAACCCAGCGAGACGAGGCTGCTGCACGGGCGGCAATCCCGTTGCGTTAAAAGGAGCTGCCTGTGAAAGGAGGATCGTTCCCCTCTGCCCGGCGCCGGTGATGGCCGGGCTGCAGAGCCTGCAGCCTTGGGAACCGCACCTCTAGTAGCACACGGGCTGGAAAGGAGCAGAAATCATAGACGTCCCTGATGAAGAAATGAGTAGTTCAGTGTAGGAGGGAAAAACAACCAAACCGACAAAACCGGGACCGAGAGGGGAGGAATACCGGTTCTTGCACAAAGCGGGAGGCCGCTGCGGGGCCGCGCCGAGGCGGGAGGCGGAGCGGGCTG